GCTCCCGCGCGCCCTGAGGGGAGCGGGCGGCCTCAGGCCCCGGGCGGCCCTCGCCTCCCGTCACCGGCACCGGGCCCTGCCCGGGAAGGCGAGCGGAGCTGCTGAGCCCGGCCAGAGCCCGCAAAGGACCCTCGCAGCCGTGAGGGAGGAGAGCAGCTTTGTCCCCGCTGCCTTGGGAGCAGCGAGGGCTGCAAAGGGCTGGGCTGGTGCTGCCCCGAACTCCTCACAGGGGAGCCGACCCCCTTGGCCTCCACTGACAGGGCCTTAATTAACCAGAAAACGGCTTTTAACGGCTTGGTGAGGGCATCTCGAAGAGGCTGGGGCGAGGGGCCGCAGCCCACAGGCCCCAGCCCAACCAACCGGCACCACCCAGGGCCCGCAACAAAAGCACCAGCGCTTTGGAAAGTCCTGGCCTTGGCCTAGCGCAGGTATTTTTAACATCCAAAAATGAGTGTTTGCACTGCAGTTACCCCAAAGGAGCGGGGTTTTCTCTCTGACCCCATTCCCAAAGGCTGTGTGTGCTCAGGCGGGCTGTAAAACCCCACAGACAATGGAAACTGTCCAAACAGCCTCTAATCGGCTGGAAATGCACGTTCCGGGGGTGACATCCTGGCCTATTTACTGCCCAGGCACGGTAATTGCAATGTGCGTCTCTAAACGCCGGCAGAAAGGGCTCCGATGCTGCCACAGGCCTCGACTTGCTCCGAACCCATAACTTTACACCAAAAATGCTGCTTTTTTAATTATGCGATAATTTATATCCATCTTTTAATTTCATAAATGGCTAGCCAAAGGGCAGGCAAATGGGGAACTGGGTCATTCGCAGCAATAGGTACAGGACCAACCCCCACATGCAGCTTTGGGCCTTCCTGGGGTTTATCCTGCACACAAACACAACCGTGTGGGCTATGGGGGACAAACCACAATATTATTTTAAAAGGATACTGCAGAGAAGAGAAGCAAAATTGTTTCAGTCCTCTTCTGTACTGTTTGTCTGAAGTACCAGCAAGTTATGTCAGACCTCAAAAATATTATGAAATTGCTTTTACACAGAGATCTTAAGTAAAATCCTGTTTTTCCTGCTGCTTATTAGAGCCAACTGTGCTCATGGTTCCTCCCCCCCCAAAAATATAGGAGCTGAGACTAGTCACCTGAGATCACATCTGCCAGATAACATTTGCTGGAGGTTGAGCAGTTTTAATGTAGCTCATGATATGTACACTATATATGACCAAAAAAAAGGCACAAGAATAGGAAAACAACATGGTTTTAATTCTACAAATGCTCTCTACCTATTTACAAGGTATCCAAAATATCTGCCTCAAATCCAGCAATGGCAGCCAATTCAGCTATTTATTACTTATTTGCAAAAACCTTGTATTTCAGCGACAGCAAACCCGAGCTCAGGAATGTGCCTCTGCACTTGGGACAAGCTGAAAGGGGACTGGGAAATAAAAATGCCTTCAGTTAACGGCAACAATAATCTGTCTTGCTTGGAGGCAAACACAAGAGACTGAAAGAGTTCAATATCCAAGTCTGAGTAGCAACAACAGCTCATCCCTTGCATAGTTTAGCCAAACCCAGCCGTGCCCAGCAGCCTACCTGGGGATTTCAGCAAACCCCTGTGGAGCGTGGCTTCATTTGAACAAGGACGGGCGAGTCCAACCTCCGCAGGTTATATCTGTAAGACAACTGGATGCTACTCTGATCTAGAAAGCAATTACAGTTTTTCTCACGAAGAACCAAAAATCACATGTTTGAACTCTTCACAAAAGAAAGGTTTAGCTGTGAACAACAGAAAGGACATTATGTTTTAACACCAAAACTACTATATACACAAGAGAACCACAGTGTGCCTCTCTTTATTCTTTATTTTACAGTTCACAATTAGAAACCTACTGATAAATTACACGTTCACCCTCCTGTTTGGGGTTTTTAAATGCCTCGGAGTCGTGCTGCCAATCACATCTCATCCCAGGAAGGTGGCTCAAGGTGCCAACAGGTTACATGAGTTGGCGTGGGTTGCTTGGCTGCTCTAACCCCTCTGTGGGCCGCACTTCACACGGGAAGTTAACAGGCATCAGGAATTATCCCCTAAAAACACATTTCAAATGGAAAAATATACTGGATATCACTTCAAGGTAATTTTATAGACTTGTAAATGTTACAAATGTTCTTGGGGAAAAAAACCCAACAAACTTCCAGGGCTGCAGGTCAGCCAGGTTGTATTTGCAGGGAACAACTGCCCAGACTGGCCCTTTTTCAAGGCCTTACATCTTAAGCAATCCTCTCCTTTTACAGAGCAGAAAGATAAGTTAAGGTCCCTGCTCAGCCATGCATTTCAACATCTGCTTAACTCTGTACACAGCTGTGGCCACCAATTCAGATTTTCACCAGTGCTACCAGCACCCCTGCTTACTTTTTTTTCTGCTCAGAAATTTTTTTGGCCTCCGACTCCTAGTTCAAACCATCTTCTCTTTAAAAGGATGGCACATGCAGCACAGCGCATCTGCTGAATTTCAACAAGCTCCTGCAAAGGAAACGCTACAGAAAATACTGTGAGTTTTCATATCAAGTCTAGCTGAACATCACAGGGGCATTATAAAAAAGCACAGTAGTGTCTGAACCTTCCTTAGCCAAGTGCCTCCAAATTGAGGATGACGGTGGCACAGAGACTGAAAAACTCTTCCAGGTGGCTCAGGCTCTTCTGCTGCACTGAGGATTGCCGGCTGTGTGCAGACCTGGAGCGGCTGCTCCTTGGGTGAAACCCAGCTCGGTGCAAAGAACCCACACAAAGCCACCGCTTCAGCAAGGTGGAGGAGGGCAGCGCATGACAGTGGTACGAGACTGCACCACAGGGTGTGAATTTCACCCACAGTAAATTAAAAGGCCAAATCCAGAGATGAGGCTATGTGTACTTGCCAGTAGAAACTGGTGACAGATGAGAAATGGACAGAACACACCATGAGCATGTATTTATAAAGAGGAATACAAAGGGGGCAAATTGCCTTTGTTTTGCCATTATGAAGGAATATTTTACCAGTTTTCTCCTTGTATCCTTCTACAGTTGCTCACCTTTGGCACAAGGAATTCTATGTATCACAAGATTTAATTAATAATAATACTTCATATCAACACTCAGCACTTACATAGCGCTTCTCATATTCAAAGTGCTTTACAAAAGTTTGTGAGTCCTCACAACACCCCTGTGAGGTAGGTAAGTATTATTATCCCCATTTTACAGATGGGGAAACTGAGGCAGAGAGGTAAAGTGACTTGCCCAAGGCTTTACAGGGAGTTGAAACTTATGACATAGTGGCCCAGTTCTGGTCTCCCTTATGGCGGTGTAACACAGATGAACTCCCACAGAGCTATACTGGTGTAAGCAAAGCAATCCAACCCAAGTTTCTCTGGCTCCCAATCCTCCAATCAACTGACCGTACCTGCTCCACCTAAACCAGCAGTTCACCTTCTAAAACAGTACAGAAAGTCCAGAGCGCAGAAGGAGCAAGTCTGCAATCTTAAGGCAACATTAACAGCTCCATAGCTCTGCAGCAAGTTGGACTACACACAGACGTGTTTCTGCTACGCTGCAAGAGTCCTAAGACAACTCAAGTGGTCTCCAGCTCTGCACGTATCAGCTTTGAGGCTGATTCTCTTCTCCCTCAAGTTAGAATAAATCCAGAGCAAAACAATGGGGCTGCACCAGCGTAGAACTAATACGAGATCTGAACCAGACCTTTTACCTGCTGTTTCATAGGCAAATGCCTCTACTAATATCTTTTCATTTTGGACAGCTTCAGCATGGTTCATTTCACTCTCTCTCTTTCTCTCCAAGTTTGTATCTCTGCATATAAACAAACTTTCAACATTTCCAACTCATCAGCATTTAACAGCACCGTACATCTTTCTAAGACCGATCAGTATTTCCAGAAAAGTGTCAATGCATGCAAATATCACATACAAAAACATCAAGAGTGCTGGGAGATGACACCAAGGATAGAGGTGATCACAAGACAGCACACATTTAGTTTTTATTAAAAATACCAAACAACTCACTCTTACTGTAACTATGCCACTTAGATGATCATTCTAACCTGCAGAAGTACAGGTACTTTTCCTCCAACTATTTACCTACCTACCTAGAAAGAAAGAGAAATAGCAAGCACACACATTTATACTTCCTCAAACTTGGTAGGCATGATTCACGTGAACGGGAAAGGAGGGTTTGGGGAGGTGGGTGAGATTGTACACTGGGTTTAGGCAGCGGAGTATGAAAGAAGTAGAAGATATCACATGCATCATTACCATCAGTAATCAATCTGATGAAAATAAACCCCAAAATTAGATGGATTCATGTATGACATCCACTGAAAATCTCAAACCCTAAGCACTGAAGCTGGCAAACATCTTGTGCCATTTTGCCTATGTCCAGATACAGCATCAGCAAATAGAATCAAACAAACCTTGAAAAGAAAGCAAAAGGAAGAATAAACCAGCCTGGAGACAACAATCTTCCACAAACCACTTCCCTGCATTATTTTCACATACATTTTACTCTTAAACAGTTTCAGAAAGGAGTGGGGGAGAAAGAGACCCACTACTATTTCTTTTTAAACTGGCTCAGCACCAGCACCAGCTCAGAGAGAGGGAGAGAAAAAGCATTCTTCAAA